TTTTTCCTTTGAAAAAAACAACTTAAAAGTTATGATGTATGTTGGACGGATCGTCTGTATAGACTGAACCAACGGAATTTAGCAGTGAATTATGAGTTTAGTTTCATGTTACAAGGTCATTTGTTTTTTCTTTTCCCTCCATGCGAGGTTTCTTTGTAAATGAAAAGAGGTATTGAATTTCTTTATTATTATTATTGTCAAGTACCTTACTCTCACTCTGATGAGAAGAATATCCATCAAAGCACTTGTCATTTTTTTTCTCGAGTTTGGCCAAATATTTGTATACATCTTAATAGAAAAGAGTCGTCATTCCAACGATTATGCCTGTTTTCTATTGTCCAACCTTAATATAAAGAGATACTTTTCATACTTTTCAGCTGATGTGTAACGGGTCAAAGCGAAGAATTTCAATATACGTCCTTACTGCTGGGTAGATCTATGATCGAAGAATTTCAGTATATGTCCTTACTGCTGATGCCACTTATGTTTTTGGATAGTGGCAGTGTCAGCTTAGAGTAACAAAAAAGAAGAAAGGAAGTCCATTTTTCTTTTTTATGACAAATTTGGCTTACTAATCTGTATAACGTCCTTAAAAAGTGAAGATTTAAAAATATGTGTGATTCGTTTTCATTGAAAATTTTCAGCATTTTTTTTCATTGATTACTTCGAATGCTATTCTTGTCCGGAGAAGAATAATGGTCGTATATATATAACTTCTTTTGTCACGATATTGGTAACTTTCTTTAAACAATGCCGATTCGAATCCGTGTATTTATAAATGCTATGATCATCAACTTTATAGCATTTGTAGATTAAGTTCGAAAGTTTTATCAGCAATTGGAGAGTTATGGGAATGGTCAAAAGACGGAAGGAAAGAAACATAATCCTAACTTAATATGAGTAGCCGAATTGAAGTTTGCAGTGTATGAATTTGCATACAGAAACTCAGTTCTCTCGAAATTCGAACTTCTACAAAACACGAGGATTACTAATCTTAACACGAACCAAAAGACTTTAAAGATGAACTCACCAAAAAGCCACACTGATGATCATTGAGAAAATTTATTTGTGGCCAAATCAATACTTGCGGCTGGTGAAGCTTGTATCACGCGTCTCCCATGATGGTCTACTCTCTTTTGAGATATCGCTTCTTATTGCACGTTCGATAGGTTTAACAACGAAGAGATACTATCAATAAGCCAAAAGGAGAAGCAAACACATTAACTCAGTCCCTTGTAAGAGAAGAAAATTTTATAGAAGCTTTAAGTTGAAGATGCATACTTGCAGTGCAAAAATAAAGGGAATCAGCAACTTCCCCCTCTGGTTGGGATTTGGGCCCTCAATCAACTTCTTATCAACAAAAATAGACTTGCTTCCATTCAACACAACTGTGGTGATGGTCTCAACCAAGTGAGGAATCCAAGCAGTTCCGTTTGGAAGAACCTATTGGAAAATTCAACAGTCAAATCATTCAATTGAAAACATTCTAATGAGGATTTCTACAGAAGAAAGAAAGACAGAGGTAGAACCTTTTCGTCTTTCTCGTTCTTGTTGCACCGTCCGCTGTTCTCAACTAAGACGACTGGAATATTTGACCCCTGAAAGGTATAGGGAATTAGATAAATATTCTTATCATGTCAATGAGCACCAAAAACATTTGATCTAAAATAATAAACGTAAGCTTTGTTGAACAAAAGAACAACATGGATTTCATCTCTTGCCAGAATTCTAAGAGATTTTACAGAAAGAAAGATCAAAAGACATCAAATGCCATGGTTATGAACATTAATATAACTCATACGCTAATCAGAAGACAATACAGTACTAGTGAGGAAATATGTAATCAATCACAAATAACATTTTCACGTTTTAAACATGCCGCCAACTAAATAGTTCACTTTACACTCTATTCAATCCCCTCCGCCCAAGAAATGGCATTAACAAGTACTGTCAAAAAATTGTGACCTTCGTCATGCAATTCTATTTACACGAGCGAGTAAAAGTCCTCTCTGTCAACTCGAATTTTAAATTCTTCATGTTTTTGCTTCTTTTTCACGATCCTTTCCAATTTGTTTTATAGGAAAGATCTAATGTAATGAAATGAGTATCATCAATTAAAAATCTGCTCACATAGACGTAGGACTAAAAACTGCACGAAAAACAAAATGGAACTGAAAATTTGCTGAAAACGGATAATAAAAATGTCAAAAGCCACCTGAATATCATTTTTGTTGAAAGAGGCACCCGATCGAACTGTCTTTAGCAGAGCTTCTGATCTTCTGTTGAAAAATTCATCATAGGGTAATCCATCTGGTGGGGAAAATTGAGCATGAGTGAGGACGACCAAAGCCCTATTCCATATTGCTTTACCAAAGCTGTCTGTTATGGCCTTAATAACCTGCTTTTCCAAGTTATCAACTCTATATGCATCCAAGCGGTCCACATATAGTAGAATATCTATGGTCTTATTCAAAAGAAAGCTGCTCATCAACCCCCAAAAAGATCCAAAAAAGAAGGATAAAGATATACAAGTAAGGATAATGAATTAATTGAATTATCTTGTAAAAAATTAATCTGAAGTAAAAAACTAGAACTTACCGTTTTATGATCTCAAGTGCCTGGTCATTGATATAACCTCCTTCTATAATGCCAGGTGTATCAATGACGTTCAACGTAAATCCAGCCCTTGAGCGAGAAACCATCACAGGCCTTGGTACTTCTGACTATAAAACATTTAATTTCTTAAATAAAATCATGCACCTTCTGTACACTTGAATGAACCAAAATACAGCAAAAGCGAATAAGTAATGAGTACCTGAAAAGGACTAACAGATACTGCTCTCTCACCAATAATGGAATTCACAGTGGATGACTTTCCAACACCACCTTTTCCCATTACAAGTATCGTCAAGGTGCTGACATTCTGTACAAATATATCAAGAGGCAAAGAGTCCTAAGAGATTGTGAAAAATGCAGTGCAAATAAAGCTTGCATGAAAAAATAGATCACATAATATAGATTTTGTGACCACGATGTATGGATAAAAATGAATATAGAACCTCCTGTTTCAGTCTACCCAACAGTTCAAGTAATTTGTCTTGAGTAGCCATTGCAAAGGTGTTAATCCCAATCCACTCGCGGATAACCTGGGACGCCATGAAGGAGTGTCTGCCTGTCATACAATTTCATGTAACAAGATAAAAATATTTACCTTAGTCCAAGCACAGGAAGGGACTCCAAGTAGAGGAAACAAATTTGACTAACTATCAATATGTAACGCATGCTACATACATAAATACATATATATAAAGTACAGTTAAGAAAACCTTTTTCTAATGAACACCAACAGATAAAATTTCATAGGTTAAGTGTCTCTAATCGTACCAAGAAAAGTGGCCCTCGTAATTCTCATTCAGTTAATGTCAACTCTAGAGTGGCACTTCAAGAAAGTAAAATAAGGATTGTGCTTATATCCAGAGAACCCCTTTTCATTTTTCATTTCCCGATGGAAAAAGAAAGGAAGAACAATAAATGCAAGAATAGGAGTGAACCTTACCCATGAAATCTAATGCAAAATCTGAAGAATGTCCAATTTTAAATTACAGAGACTGTTAAAAACAACTACGTGTCGTGAAGATTATATTAAAGAAGAAACTAATATAAAAAGAGGAGAGATGAGATATCCCACAGAACCCATGTGACCGCATCTGAATTTTCACAAAAGATAACTATTCAACAACAGGAAAATGGGACAACTTAATCCAATTTTGAAGAACACACATATGAGCAAGAAATGTTCCCGTGGAGAGACGTAAGGCCGAAATTCACATCACCCAGAGCCCACAATTTAGACCAGTCATTCTTCAAAACCAGCAGAGAGGAAATTCACAACCCCCACCCAAGCCATGAGCCTACAATAAGAAACACCAACAATTCTCTTCTCCTCCTACGTTCCTAGAACTACAAACATAGCAGATGGTTGAACAATTGAAGCAGGGGAAGCAACAAAAAGACTAAACCAGCATTGGAAAAAACAGAAACCCAAGTGGCGAAAGCGTATTGAAAGAAGAAAAAACAGGGTGCAGCAGAACCAACAGCCACAATTATCATGAATTGAAATACAAACAGAGAAAATTACCCAATTCGAAGAGCGGTGCAGTGGCGGTGGCGGGAAGAAACGAAGGAATATATCCCTTACCCAGAGGAGAAGAGAGGGAGAGGAAAAAGATGGAGGGGTTATCTGCAGTTTTAAACCCTAAAGAAAGAAATTAGCTTCTGGGGTTCGCTCTGCTGCTCTCTTATCGCTATCTCGCCAACTCGATCACCTCCTTCCTTCTCTCTCTTCTTCCTCGTGACCAACTCCAAATCTACTAACTTTATTTGTTTTCTATATTGTCTCCTCCCATTATTATATTAAGTACACCACCAATTTTTTTTAGGTTAAATTGTATTTTTGGTTCATATACTCAAAAGGTTTAAGAGTTTGAATGGATGGAGGCTAATATCATCTCACATCACATCTCCATATTCGTTGCACTACAAAATAATAATAGAGGTTGAATAAAGTATAGCTTAAATTGATAAAACATATATTTTCGATCAAAAGGTTTGAAGTTTGAATTCCACCTCCTATATTTTTTAACTTAGAAAAAGTGTGACCTTAATGGAAAGGTTTATGTTTCAATTTTATGATTTTCAATGAAATATCATTAAAATGTCGATGTCGATAACAAATAAGCATTTTGTTGATTTTTCTTTTTAAAAAAATATTTAAGTTTATGGTGAGTACTTTTTTCTTTTTTCCTTTTTTTTTTTGGAAACAAAGAAACATTGCATTAGAAAGAAATAAAGCCACGGTTATATTAGAAGAGTGGTGACCACACATAACCAGTACAAATCCATGAAGGAAAACAATTGCCTCAAAGGACATAGAAACGATAAAAAAATGGCGCACTTAGGCAATACAACGACTTGTCTATTCAAGGAACTAGGAATATGAACAAATTTTAACCCACTGAACGCGTTCTCAAAAATCAGCGGGAGATATTCTTAATTAATGGAGGTATCTTATCAATTATGACATCTCTATTAGCAATTTGGAGGGAAATAATTGTCTCCAAAGTTCCTTATTCTCCACCATGACAGGTAAGAAAGAATTGGACACATTCCCCTATCATGCTTATCACAAATCTTAATGCAATTAAGACTGATAGCGTTCCTAGATTCCAAAACGGTGTTTGAACTGATTGCTGCTACACATTCGTCGTCGCCCCACCTACTGCTCTGTCTTCTTTGTCCTTGAACCATGGAAGTTCTCCAAACCGAAATTAAACGAAAATGAAAAGTCATCCCAAAAGATTGCAAGCAGGTGTCCGCTCCAATGAGCACTTGACCATCATTGAAAAATTGACAATTATTATCGTTTCAAAAAATTATCCATTAATGCATTTCTCTTTTATTGTTCACGACCTAAGTAATTTTCTTTTTGCTTATTTTTCACTAATTTTTTTGGTCGAAGAGATATGTCTAATTGAACCCGACTCTGATGTGCAGTTAAAGTTGATCTCATTTTAGGGTAACTGATAATATTTTTTTTGGATAATTGTTACTTTTTCCCAAAATACATATTGGGCCGACAATTGGGCCTTGCAGTGGGAGAAGAGGCTGAGAAAGAAGTTGAATTGCTCCACATGGGAAACACCGTTGCAAAACGAGATACCCATACTGGTGATGGTTCGTATTGGGCTGATAATTGGGCTTTTTATTAGTGCCCTCAATTTTTGTTTTAAAATTGTAAATTTGGGCTAAAAAACACACCCACATGGACATTAAAAAAAATAACCATCTTAGATTTTTTTTTTTTTTTGATTTCGATGGAGACTACTATGATAATAAAGGTCTTATTTATAGAACTCTGACTAAACAAATTTAATTTTTAACAAAACACTTTTAAGAATTAATTACACACTAGATTTGTTGTTCTTTCTCGAAATATTTGTAGAAAAAACTGTGTTTGAAAAAGAAAATTTGATAGTATTTTGTTAAAATTATTATTTAAAAAAAGTGATTTTAACCATTTAAAAATAAATTTTAAAATTTTCGAAAATCATACGAGGCAAATCATTTAGGACTATTTGATAATTATTTCGTTTTCAATTTTTTAATTTTCAGAAAATAGACTTGTTTGATAATGAATTTTATTTTCTATTTCTTAAAAGTGTCTTTCAAATAATTAGTAAATCTAAAAAAAAGTAATTTTTAAAATAATCTGTTTTTCAAAATTCCATTTTTCTTCCTATGTTTATTTTGTTTTCTTTTACATATTTCTATTTAATAAATTTATTTCTCGTTCTAAATTTTTTTTTTGTCTAATTTCCTCTATGTACAAAATTTATCTCCCTCTAAAATTTTCATGTCTATAATACTTACTATTATTTTTCTCTCTCTAAAATTTTCATCTCTATATATTTTAATTCTTTTTTTTAACTTTTAACTCTCAGTCTCTCTAAAATTTCACCTTTTCTATTTTTTTTCTCTTTCCTAATCTATTTTTATATAGTAAATATATCTCCAATTTTTCTCTATCTAATTTTTTTTCAATTTCAATTTTCTTTCCTTTTTTTGTCTTTAATTTTTTTATCCCTAATTTTTTTCTCTAATTTTTCTTTTTCTAAATCTTTTTATTTATCAGATTTCTCTTTAAAGAACTTCTTTTTATCTCTCTAAACTTTTATGCTTCATCTCTATACATTAGAGAAGATAAAAACCCCCCAATGTTGGGTAACAACTCCAATAACATGAAATTGAAATGTATTTTCCACCATGTCCCGATTCTATTTTTTAAATAATAAATAAATAAATTATTTATTTATTTTATTAAATTATGAATAAAATATTAAATACTTTTTAAAACTAATTATTTATAAGTAAATAATAAATTTTCAGTAAATAAATATAGTTTATATATTTTTTAATTAAATATAATTACTAAATCGGTAATTTTTCCCATGAAGATCTTCGTTTCCGAAATGAGGATTTCTCGACTTGGACCTCCATTTCTAAAATTGGAGAAATGGGGTGGAGACGGGAATTAAAAATTTCTACAAGACCGAAGTGGGAGGGTATTCCCAACCCACACTTCACCCCACTATTTCTACTTTACATAGATTCTTTTCTCTATCCTATTTCTCAAACTCTCTATTTTTTAAAAAATAAAAAACTAAAAATAATTATCAAACGTTTTGTTTTTTCAAAAATAAAAAATAATAAAAACAAAAAACAAAAATCAGGCCTATTTCAATGTCTTCCAATTTTTTGTCATGTACTCAAAATCTTAATAATTTAAATTCGAGACTCCAACCTACCTTGCTGGTATAAAAAAAAAATAAATAAATTTGACTATCACATTTTTTTTGTTGGTGGAGGTTGGGGCTATTATTAAATGTTATAAGCCATTATTGTATGGGCAGCTTCAAAATTCACATGCCACGACTTCATACATAGCATATTATTCAAGCTACGTGACCCTTGGCCCATGCATATATCCAATGATAGATCTACATCAACCAATTATAGACATCGACTTCAGGAGAATTAGTCAAGTTAAAAATTTTAACCAACATATCATTTTGAATAAAGTTAAGTGGATAAAATATCTATTATTATCTTCAAATGTCAATAATTCGATCCTTCAGTTTATAATAGTTGAACTCATAAAAAAGTGACAACAATGAAAAAGCATGAATAAAATAAGAATCAAATGAATATAGTGATTCTTCCAAAAAAACAAAAGGACTTAACTTTTGAGTGGAGAGGATGACCCTTTAAGGGTCATAATATATACACATGTTTATATATAAAAAAATTTATTTGATTCAATAATTATTTCTGTTTTTTTTTTAATTCTCCAACAACTTTTGTTAAAAAAATTTATCTTGAAGTTCTTTGGAGTATAATTTTTCTTTTTAATTTAAAAGTTGACATTGAATTAGTAGTTCTAACTTGGTGTTTGAAACTAGTAAATAGATCTAACTCAGTTTTTATATATTTTTTAAAAAATAATAAAAATCGTACAAATATAAAGGGTCTATTGGATAACATTTTCGCTTCTAATTTCTAGTTTCGGATAAATACAAACATTTGATAATTGCTCTTGTTTATCATTTTTCATTTCTAAAAAGTGTCAATTTTGGAAACAACAAATCAAGTAATCAGTTTCTTGTTTTCGTTTCCTGTTTTTTTCTTCAAAATATAAATAAAAATATAATTTTATCACTATTGACTTATAAAATACATAATAAAAATTTAAAATAATTATAACATAAAGTACAATTAAAAAATTTAACTTTAAAAAATTAACGTCCATATAAAAATTTAAACAGCCACCTAATTCTGTTTGTTTTTTTGAATAAAAAATGACGAACAAATAACTTGAAACAATTTTTAAATGCAACTATTTTTTTTTAATTAAGAACATGAAACGAGGAGCAAGAAACAAAAATATTATCAAATAAGACCTTAATGATTCAATCCAATCAAACTATTTTACCGATGAACTATGATCTATTAATTAGTCAAAATGGTCTGAATTCAATAAATTTATAATTTAAATCGATGAATTGACTCAATCCAACTCAACTCGTGAAGACCCGTACACAAAAATCAATCATGGTGAGCCAGCTTGACCGGAGCCGTGGGCAGCAACCAAGTGGTTCCAATTAATAATTGGTTGGGACTCATTGACTCCTTTCGTCAGAACCCAAACCCATCAATATCCAGCCTGCCAAGCTCATCTAACTCATTTATTGTAGCCACTCTCTTAATTTTTCATAAATTCAAAAAGTATTTATAAAACCGTAAAAAATAACCTGCAGTTGTTACAGTTTTGTTTTTGATTTCACCCAAAAGACTTCTTATCAATATATATAATTATGGGACTTTGTTTACACTCCTTCACTAGTCATCTGCAAGTGGTTTGATTCCGATGATGACTATTAGATTTTTTTAGTATATTATTTAATTTTTACCGTTGAAAATGTTGGATCGGTATGACAACCCTAGAGGGGGTGAATAGGGTTTAATTAACAAAATATAAACTTTTTAATAAATGGGCCCAATTTAAACAAAAATAATACACTTTTTTTGAGATGTGCAATTTTAACTAAGTAAGATAAAACACATTATAAGGCAAACAAGAGAAATTTAAAGCAAACAATCAAATTCTAAGATTAATTGTAAAAATAAATAAGAGAGAGGGTTAGAGAAATTTGACACCGGGAATTTTTATAGTGGTTCGGCACAACTCTCCTACTCCACTTCCCAAGCACCTCTTGGGTTATAAATTGTAATTCTGACTCTTTCCACGGTAGGAGTCAA